TTCCTTTGGCCTTCTTGTATTTAGTATGCTTGACTTGCAGCAGGTCTTCTTTGCTTTCCCACTCAGCTTTTTCTGCAATCATGCGCTTTTCTTCTTCGTTCAGTTCGACGATAGTTGTTTCATCCCAATTCGATGATTGCGTTTCCATCTTTTCGACTCCGGGGTGCGGAGTATCGTTTTCCATCTTCTGCTGCCCTTCTCCTTTTAGCAGTTCAGCTCCCGGTTCCCATTCGCCGTTAGCGATTGCTTCGCGACGCATGAACGACATGTTTTTTGATGATAGAGGGGGCTCTATCAAGGTGTATTTACTATGATGTGTTTGTATGTTGTGTTGGATGTTGAAAAACTCTTATTGGCGACTAGATGTTGTCTACTCTATAACTAGAAAAAGGCGTTGTTGCGAAAACTGTGATTGAATGAACGATCCCCCGTATTTAGATGTTTGATTACTCAATTTTTACAAGGTGCGATAACCGATGTTCGTCACTGTTTGTTTGTCGCGGTGGCACGCTTTCATTACATAAGAGACTGGTCGAGCCACACAATTTAAATTTTCCAGTAGTTGATGCATTTTCCATTTTGTATTCCGTAGAGATCCACGTTTGTTTGAATTCATGACTAGTTTTCTAACGACCAGTCTCAGAACCTGCGGAACATGGATCACGGGCAACAAGCAGAGCTTGAGCCAAAATGGCTACGGCACAAAATATTCAATATACTTGTTTGGGATCAGCTCCCTTTCTGAAAAACCCTTTCAGGGTTGAGAAGTGCTCTGCTCCGCAACCTGATCAGGAGCACTTCTAAGGGTTGAGAGGCAAGGGCTTCCTGAGTGCTACCTGATGCTCATTTTACAAAAACGGGGAAACCCGCGATGTCGACACAAAGGGATCTACATTTTTGTTTTGTGAGAGCAATTTGTTTTGTGAGAGCAAAAATGTAGTGACCAAAGTGCTACTTGATGCTCATTTCGAAAAATTGGCCAGACTCCTGACCTCAAAGTAGGGGTCTATGTTTCTATTTTTTGAACGATCTGAGGTAGTGGTTAGCATTCTAGTTGATGGCCATTGTGACAAATCGGCGATACTCCTATCTCTTAAATGGGGGTCTACATTTTAATTTTTGGTCTTTGCTCGCCCAGATGAATTGCCAGAATTCTAGTTGATGCTCAATAGACAAAATTTGCGAGCGCTCCTACCTTTTAATGGAAGCCCATGTCTTTGTTTTTTGCAGGCTTAGATGTAGTGGTCAAAAGTCAGATGTAGTGGTCAGAACTCTAGTTGATGCTCGTTTTCAAAAATCGGAGAGAGATCCTCCTCGTAAATGGGTGCATATCCTTTTCTTTTTTGCCACCCAAAATGAATGTAGTTATCCACGAGGCCCCTTACCCCCAGCAAAAAGACCACTGAGCAGGTCTCCAGCGCCGCCCAAGAGGTCTCCCGCACCGTCAAAAGCGTCCTGCGCAACGTTCTTTGATAGACCTGCTATACAACTTGCTTTCTGCGATTTTTACATGGAATAGCATCTGATACAGCAATTTCCAACCACTGAAGTCAATCCATCAATCCTCCTTATGCACTACTTGAGGCAACTCTGGTAGCGTCGACAATCAACATCACAAGGCGAGACTCTTCACACCAGGAGTAGTACTCAAGTCCATCAGCATGATCGAGAATCTTATTAGTAGTACTCAAGTCCATCATTCTAACGGGCTTCCAATCGACGGCTCTGACGGGAGCTTGATCGTCCTACAGCTGCTGTATTCGGATTCGCCTGCATAGCGTTTGTAGCTGCGTCTGAAGGACGTCAGGGCGAAATGCTAAATTCTCACTCCTCTTCCTCCTCTACGCACCACATGTCACCAGGTCCAAGCGGCTCCAAGGGGTACTACTACGGCAGTGTTCCTACTAGGAGGAACCTGCAGCAGTGTTCACAAAAAACATTCAGCAGTGTTCCTACTCGGAGAGACCTTCTATCGCCTCCATGCTGACAGGAAAGCAAAAACTCCAATCATAAGGACATCAGCTCCGCGGCTCTAGCCAAGTAGAGTCATGAGCGTCGACGGATCCGCACTGAATGCTGCTTGGCTGACAGACCGGACGAAGCCACTGTCGCATATTTTTTCTTCATAAATTAGAAAATTCAGGAAAAGCGAATTATTTCTGAATTTCCTTTAATTATCCTGAATTTTCGATTCTATCACGTTTATATCACATTCAAATCAAATGGGGAACTATTACACAGCATATTGCTCCATAAGTTGGCAAATCGAAAAAAGTCAGATTTTCATTTGATCAAAGAAAAGCCAAAATTTTGATTTTATAAGCTTTTATTCAAATTCAAATCCAAGCCAGTGCTTTGACCATTCAATTTTGTCAGACTGGTCTGCTCAATAAATGCGATTTGAAGAAATTTCTACGAGAAAAGTATGAATCCAAAATACTACGTGACTCCGAAAAAAGCTTTCGAGTGTCTAGTTTTGAGAAACAAAGCTTTCACATTGGAAATTTTCAACTCTAATTTTCCACAGGAAAAAATTCAAATCCATTTTTTTATGCTGCGCTGGCATTAGCAGAGACGACCCAACCTCAACCAACACTAAACACCTGAACCACCAGAAGCACAAGCACAACTCCCTCGTAATTTACTGGAACACACGAACATGAAGATCCCTCATCATAACAACATTCATTCGGCGATAGCGCATCTTCGATATCTTGCTTGCTCTGGCCGACGAGAGCTGGTGCAAAGAGACGCTTTTTCTGGTCAAACACCTGAAGTGATGACGTCAGGGGTGTCTGTGAAAAACCATTGGCTCGCATAGCGTCGAGAAGTTTGGGCGGCGCCGGATCGTAGGTAGTCAGCGGCGCAGAGAGACCGGGTGTGCTGCTCGGAATCGAATTTGGCTTGTCGTGGAAATGATGAACGAAATAAGGTCTACTGGATTATTGAAAGAAGATCGAAGAAAGAGTATGCAAGTATTTGTTGAGGTGGAATGAGTACAAGTAGTACACTGTTATCAGCACATGTCCATATATTTTCATTTTTTACGAGGAGAAATGTTTCTTGATTTCTAAGGCCAATGAGATTGTTATCAGTCTTTATCCAACCCATTTCAGATGCGACGACCAAGCGTTAATAGGACCACTGTGGTATCGTCATCGCCTTCTATGATGATGATGGTTGTACGTATACTAGAGGTGTTAGTTGTCTATAAAGCTTTTTAGCCCTTGCACTTCCTGATGTGGCTTCTGTATATTGCAGTTCTGTTTTCTCAACTACTACAAAGAATAAGTACTTATATGCTTATCAGGCCTTCGCTACTTTGCATGACAGCTACAGGACAGCGAATAATATTTAATCAAGTAGTTTTTGCAATTAACCCAGCAGCCCAGTAAATGGAGATATGTTGATCAGATACTAATTCATACTGAATTTACAAAATCACCCAGACTCCCAACCTAGCAATGGGGATCTAAATCTAATTATTTACTCCCTGGCAATGGGGATCTTCCCTAGCAATGGGGATCTAATTTACTCTTTTGAGAGCAGAATACAGTGATCAAAACCCTACTGCTCGATGCTGATTTTACGAAATTGGCCAAACTTCCCACGCCAAAATGAGGATCTACTTTTTTCTTTTTTGATGGTAGAAGAAGTGTAGTGATCAAAATCCTAGTCGATGCTACATTTACAAAATTGGGCAGCCTCCCATACTGCAGATGGGGGTCTGATTTTTTCTTTTTTGTTAGTCAGAGTGTAGTGATCAAAATCCTAGTCGATGCTACATTTACAAAATTGGCCAAACCCTCCCCCTCCATATGGAGGTCTGATTTTTTCTTTTTTGTAAGCCAAAACGTAGTGATCAAAATCCTTCTTGATGCTAATTTTTTGACGGTAACCGGGAAATGATCAATGCATCCAATGCAGAAAGGCGGTCACGACCTCTGGTTTTTGGTAGAACTGCCATTATGCAGTGACATGTCACATGATGAGGCGCTTTGAGCAACTACGGAGCGCCTACTACAACTTACTTACGGCCTTGAAGGAAGAGCATTATCATGTCAGAATAAGAAGTCGAAAGTCACTAGCATATGGGATGAATGACAGCAGTCAGAGTCACTAGCATAAGGGATGAATGACAACAGTCACAAGCATAGGAGATGAATAATAGCAGACACTAGCAGAAGTGAGGAATGCCAGCATTTGAGGAACCCAGCGATCGATGTATTTCATATCGGTGTTAGAAGATCCCGATTGGGTAAGACGAGACGCAGACCTGATGCAAATTTCTTCGAGCTTTACCGGTAAGGCCAAGACTAGCAGCCAAATGGCCTGCAACAACGAATGCAAGTGGACATAAGCCGTGTACTGAGTATGAGTAATAAGTATTAATGTAAATCATGTGCCACATTGTACATATTTCTACTAGTCCTTCAGTCTCCTGTAGATCCACAATGCGCTTCTCTTCTCATCCAGTGATGTACCACATTGCACTCCTACCAGCCCTCTACAACGTTATTATTGCACTCTTTCTACCAGAACCATTCTACCAGAACCAGCCTTCCAGGAGTGCACTCAAAATACGGAAAGGACCACATTGCACTCCTACTTTCCGTATTTGAGTGCCACCTTTATCTATTTGGAACGCCTACCAGTCCTTTACGCTATCTGGCTTCGTCCCGACCATACCCAGGATTTGATCGTTGCCTGATCCGAAACCTTTGCCACTGCTACGAAGAAGGTGGAAAATCATACTGGAATGATAAAGTACTACTTGATGGTCATAAACGGGATTCGGGTTATCTTGCTGCCAGAACATCTTTGCTTGTGGCACCATGAAGCTATGAGCAGGTGGTGGCCCAGATTGCCACGACCTTGTTCGGAAATCAGACGACTACGGCATGGCCATGGTCATGCACGCGTCAGATCTGACCATAACTTCCAAAATTGTCAGAAATTGAAACGGAATTCCTACAAGCTCAAAAATACAGAGTGCCCATTGGAGGTATCGACCATCATGCGCCTTAGTTGTATTAAGTAGTAGCAGGAGTAGTGTACCCATTCGGGGGGTCGTATGGTAAAATACCCATGAGAGGGTAAGGTAGTCTAAGAAGATAAAGAACAAATAAATGCATTATAATCTAGGTGGCAAGAAGCAACAGCAACATGTCTGATGACAAATAACACACTAATTCTCAGTCATAGCGACATCTTGGACTATTACTATTTAAACTTCTGCTCTGCTATTATCTTTCTTCATTGTCTACAGTCTACAACTTGTCTTAACAAAAAGCGTGAGCACCATCGGTTTCGGTTTTTCTGTCGGAGTATCCTCCATCTTCTTGTCCTTCTTCGTACGACGGCAACATTTTACGGCACTAGAGGAAACGCAAGTAGAGACTCCAAGGACTTAGAGGAGCGTGCGAAGTTGCATCAGGGTGACACTCCGCAGAACACGAAACTAGTGTTCTGAGGAGTGTCACCCTGATACAGAAAAAGCACCAAGTAGAATGATAGTGGGGGATCCTTTGTTTCTACAGAAGAAGCACCAATTCGAATGGTACTCGGGAATGTAGAGCTTCAACTTATACAGTTTGATGGTAAAAATCCTTAAAGAACGCATCGGGATAGAAAATGCGGTAGAACAGCGATGATGTAGCTCCCCCACCCACCTCGTAACCGGGTTACGCAAACGTTGGCCGCCCAAGTCTGTTGAACTAACAGAAGGTGAATTAGAGCAAGTCAGTTGAACAGTTGAACTAACAGGAGATCCGATGACGCATCCTATTTGACCTTCATGGAAAACTGAGCCTTGGACAACTGCAATAAGTGCACAATCAAGTACTTAAACTTATTACAACACCACAATACACCCCACTAAATAATAAGCGCACAATTATGTTTTTAGTTCTTTCATCTAAAACGACCAGGCCTTATGAATAACAGCCCTCCAACATCGCAGAATCTCGCAACTTCCATATCGAAGGGCCCTGCGTCGTCGTCGATATTGCTCCAGAGACTTTTTGTATTTCCTAGTCTCCAGAAGTGACACTTCTGCAGTGCTTGTCCACCTAAGAGAGTCTCAGTCTCTTTTAGAGTCTCAGTCTTCTGATGATGCTGTTCGTAGCACGACCCGACAAAAGCGTAAGAGCGCTTCTCCTTTTGTCCCATAAGAGAAAACCGTTGACCGCTACCAACTGCGTACGAGACACTCTGCGACGCACCCCTAAGAGGACAAAGGCTGGCGACACATCCAAAAACAATATGGTCTATAGATATGAAAATGGTGAAAGCGTTCGAATCAGTAAATAGAGTTAGTAGTTGGACGACCTCGCGATGATTCGATGTCATTGTCGTGGTATGGCCAAGCGTGACCACCGTAGAAACAGTATGGCAGCCAAGAACTACAACGCGGTCGACTCCCATGCCGCGGTGTCTCGAGCCTCTTGTTTTTGCTACTCAAAATTAACAACCTCGCTGACGCCAGCCTTGGCTGCCCTTTGGACGCGGGCGCAGCCCTATCTCCTATCTGCTCAACATCATGCAAACATCGCAGCGCAGATAGAGACAGATACTGAGCGCAGACCTCAGGCGAGAGGAGAAGTGGGCCTCCTATCGTAAACCTAAGCACTCGCTTGGCAGTAATTCAAGAGGAGCAAATCCCACACGCCTCGACTCCTCATCCGCTTCCCCATATGTCGGCGCCGAAATGCGTATACCAGTTTTGTCCCATCGTTGCTTGTGCAATTGCGACGGGGTTTCAAAAGAAAAGCCCATCGCCCGCTCGTGCTGTATCAAAGCAAGCTGCTAGTAGAAAGTAACTCCCGCAACAGAAACCCACGCGCGCGACCACAGGAGCATGACACCCAAAATCCACGCTCTCCATAGGGCAAAGCCGCTGCTGTGTTTCTCGTCAACTGAGAAGAAGAGCCCGTGCTCCCGATCCACCTGCTTTTCGCGTTCTGCCAACAAGAATGCTGACACTAGACGTGGCAAGGCGGATTCACCAGCCCCGAATAGATAGAGCAACGAGACCAGATAGATAAAGAATCCCCACACTAGGAAACACACGCGAGCCAACCTGAACAGAATTCGAGAATTGTTCAAGAGAATAGCGTCTGCGCGACAAGCAGCAGCACTACATGAAAGCCCATCTCGTCCTGCTTCTTTCTTGCATTCAGCGTAGATGGGCGGCGACTGCAGTGCAAGGTCCTCATCAATCGAATCACACTGCTCACACCCAAGCCTCCCCATTTTCTTGCGCTGCCTATTTTACCGCCTCATCCTCTAGGCTCGCGTGAGTGCCTTGATTTTCCTGGCGTCCCTTGTTTCCAGCCCCTCTAAATCGCAGCAGGAGCAGGGATTGCTAATTTGCTGGGCCCTGTCCGTTCAGCTGTCGCTCATCGCGTGGCCCCGCAGAGACATGCAGCCTCGTCTTGAGATTATAAGATAGCCTGTAACCCATCATCCGCCCAATCTCGAGTACTCTCTTGAGCTTGAGCCCAAGGCCCTCTTCACTTGACGGCCATAAATTCCTTCTGGAACGAAACCAAAGCACGCCTGAGAACACACGCTCGCCTGAGAACATGCGTCCGTCTGGAGGGGGCAGACGTTGAAGACATCTAGCAGCTGCAGTATATTTTTCTATTCTGTTAAAATAAAAATCTATCACACACAAGATATGACAAGTACAACCGCGTCCATGCATTTTTCCACTTTAACTACGCCCAGCAGGACGACTAGGAGCTACGATTTATCTGAGTAATTCCGACTTTTTTTGGGTTAACCCCTTGCAAGCGCGTTCGCCTTTCAACTGCCGGAAAGAAAGTAGATCGAAGGCCACAAGGTTACAAGCCCGTGCGCCAGAAGACGTTCTTACATACTTACTCAGCAGCCCACTTTTTTTTTCTAGGGTACTCTTAGATGATAGGCGAGACGTAGCTATCCAATTCCCTCGAGGGCCTGGCAGCTTTTGCTTCTCAACTTTGCAACTATACAACCCAACGCTTTGGCGCTTACTTTGTCACATACGCAAAATATTTTATGTCGCCTAAACACCTACCAATGATTCGAGTACTTCTATACACACGACGCAGCTCCTCGATGTGAAGAGGCAGCTCCTACTTCCTCAAGGATCAAGGAAACGTGTAGTAAGTGCTTTCTTGATGTAGTTATATTTTTCCCGAGTGGTCAGTATGATCATACTGGTACAATCCCACTTTTTGTCTAAATATTTTGCATCATACTTACAGCGTAGGCTTTTCGGCTTACATATCAACATAGTAGCTCTTTCATCGTTGAAGCAGACGTGGGCCTCAACCTAACAAGGCTTAATTATAATTTCTTATCAAGATTGTTCATTTTCATCTTTACGATCCCTAACAAGTTTCATATTCCAACTTCTACAGATATTTTCAGTTTTCATTTTCCAACATTATAGTTCTATCATACACGCTGTGCAGGTTGTGGGTTAACAATGTTCTTTATTGACAGCTTTTTCCACATATGAATGTAACAGTGTAAAAATAAATGTTTTTGTAGAGCGAAATAATACTACAAGAACCACCAGTCGATTTTTGGAACTATTTGATAGGTTTCGGACGTCTCGTATCAATTCGTCACGTCTGAAGATGTCAGTGGCAGATTTGTCGTCCAAGTCCAACCGGAACACTTTATTTAAAAGTAAGCGGTTCATCTTCAGTCTCTGATTAAATAACAACCATGTGCTATTTCTAACCACATACTGCTTCGAATCCACCATCACATCTTGTTAGACAGCGCTACCCCTACTTTGATGTATCTTGTTAGACTTTGTTTGATGTGGGTTTAGTTAGCAATCCCCAAACTCGTCCTCTCGTGCTGGAGCAAAGCCACAGTCGACATCCCGAAGTTTATTCTAATACGACTAACCATTCTCGACGTTGTTGAGACCGCAGCTTTTTAAGGCTTTTCAATTCAATTCAGTCTGCTAGCCTTTTTTTTTTGTAGTGCCATGCTTATCCGAAAGGGAAGAGCTTGCATGTTTATCCGCGAAGCTGCCGGCGACGGACGGGGCTATTCCCCTATAGTCACGCTGTATTTCATGTTCGGATAATACTTATCTAATCACGTCAAGCTAGTGTTCTTACTGTAGTTTTGAGTAATTATCTACTCACTTCATTCATTCACTTGCCTGCTCGAGGGGTGTTGTTCATTGGTAGTTTCCCCTTGGGGAGTCTTAGTTGGTTCTACAAATCACATTTCCACCGTATATTTAAGCATATCTCATCCTTTAGACCTATTTCTTCTATCTCTATGTGTGCCAACACATAGTCACCATTACGTCAATAAGCCTGCTCACTTATGCTTATCAACGCCTCCTCTAGTACTATCTACTTTATTATGTTGTAAGTGAGCCATTACACCTCTTGGATTTCCCAAGTCGCCTCCTCATCTGGCATCAACGCTCCGGCATCCAAAGATGTAGTCGCGAGACTTGTTAGAGCCAGCTACTTCTTATCTAGTATCTTTTCACCAAGTTGTAATTACATAAATTTATGACTCTGCATTTAGCTGCACTATGACTGTTGTCGTGGTGATTATAAATGGAGACACTACATCAAACATGGTAAATTACACGTAAGAAAGTGAGTGACGGTATGAGGTAATTCTGCTGCTCCTGCTGCGGTTATTTCACTCAAGATGGGTGTCTGCCTAGTAAAATAATAGACTAGAGCCATAAAGAATCCTCTGCGTTTGCCTCGACGGGTTTCATCGAGCCCGTCGCGCCATAGCCTTCGGGGTTGATCGCATCCACAATCATGTTCTGGTGCGCTGGTTCTCCTTTGGTGGGTTGTGCCACTGGTTAGAGGTGGTTTCTTTTTGATTATATCCTCTTTACCTGAGTGGTTCAATGACTATGGATAGCTATGACTCCTGCATTCCGCTTGAACTCAAGAGTGAGTCTACTTCTCTGTCTTGAGTGTCTGCGGATTGAACTCAGGCGGGGGCTGACGTATCGGTATCGGGAGGATGGTGAAAGTTTAGCCTTAAGATGCGTAGTTGCGAAAAAAGCGCGTGACCGAACGGCGGAAGCGACGTGAGAACAGCAAACAGACCAAAAGCAGCACGAATCCGGACAGTAGCGCAAAGGAAGGACCACGCAGCGGGACAAAGGCTCCGGCGACACGCAGTGCTGGCGACTGCACCTCCAAGAAAGCCATCGGCGGGGAAAACATCTCGGGCACAAGTTTCTTGTGGAACTGGACCCAATGTGGCTGTCCTTCCGTGGCCTTATGCCAAATATTGTGACTTTCCTCCAGTCGGCCGCTGTATTATTTCATTGATTTGTCGTCGCTCGTTGTAGCACTAGCGAAAGCGAAACGGCTTTACTTTTCTGGAAAAAGATCGAATCAAGACAGTAATAATTTCTGCAGGCGCAGCTGCTGCTGTGTGTCTTCTTTTGTTGCAGATGAGTGTCTCTGCCTTGATACATAGCTCAAAAAAAATACCCTCTTACCCCTCCTAGCCCTGGTGCTTTTTGGGTTGAAAGAGAGCAGCATAAGGGCCAACCTCTTGCCGCTGGGCGATGTCATTTCATTAAACCACTATCGTATATTATAAGTGTAGGCGCGCTTTGCTGTATCAGAAGACGGCGTCGCGCTGTAATAATTTGGTGCATTTACATGCGAGCAAGACCACCACCACACTCACCCCACACAGCGGCGAGACGTTTCGTAGCAACAAAGAAAAAGAGGGCCCTCCCTATTGCCATGAGGCCCAAAACCCCATGAAGAACGCAGGAACACCGAAGCGCAGGAACCCTGAATGCGAGTCGGACTCAACAGCGACCAAGCGGTTCACGACGGACAGGAGCCAGCCAGCATGCCTCTTCGTCGAAACGAAGCGCGCAAAGCCCAAGCCCCTTATTTGGCTTTCAGTGCTCAGGGCTTCAAGCTTCAAAACAGAGGTTTGACGATGAGCTTCCAAAAATCTAGAGTCGGGTCGCCCGAGCCACCCAGGCCCGGCAGCGAGTGCACCGAACGGCAGCAAGCAGGCAGATGGGCACCCCTGGAAGGCAGCCGGGGGCACACTGATGAGCGGCGAGACGCTTTTTCACGGCAGGCGCATACGAACACGAAGCTCCCTGAAAAGAAACACAACAAACTCCAACAATAAGAAAGGCTAGGCGCCTTTCGTTTTGGGCTTTCAATGTTCAAGAATTCAAGTACGGCCGGGCACAACGGGTCCCCGAGACCTGGCATCCGCCAAGGGACCCCCCGCGGCCTTGTCGCCTGCAAATCGACGCGGCCCCGCCCATCGGTCGGAAAATTTTCGAGGATCAAGCTGACTGTGGAACTTTAAAGCCCAATCGGCTTCAACTTTATGAAAAGCTGCCCGAGAAGACTGCGAGGCCAGATCAGCCGGGGCGCTCCCCGTGAATGTGTATCCTCTGACGCCTTGGCGCGTGCTTCAGCCCGGTTCCAAAAGCACGCATCGCGGCCCGATGGCATGACGTGTGGCTTTGAGCCGTAAGGCCTTTGTTGCCAAAGAAGCCTCCAGACTGTGTGTCTGCGAGTTCAGAAGGGTGCCACAGCGAGGATGGGGCAAGACCCTACAACGGGACCAAGCCAACAGTTTTGGGAAGGGCTTTGAGCTGATGCCGCGCCATACTTACCTAAATAAGACTACATTTCTCAACACACGGCGCGAGGCAACCCGTGCGAGCTGGCACGGGCTCCCTCGGGGAAAGGGCCCTGGCTCAGTTTACGTAAAAAAAGCCAGCATCACTCCCAAGATTTTGGCCTCTTACGTCGTTCCACTTTGCGGCCCAGCGCAAATGTGCGCGCCGGCCCGCGCTCGGAGCTCAGCGTCCCTAAAGATAAGACGCCAGAGAGCCACGGAGGGTTGGGGGATTGTGGTCGCGGAACTTCTCTTTCACGGCTCTTACGCCAATTGCTGCAGCCGGGCCGGCATCTCATACCTGCCAGAGAATAGGAGAATCTGATCAGGACGATGTCGGGCTGCGGGTTTGATCAGGCTGGGGCGTCCACTACATAGTTGACGAAAATGCGACCCAAGCTGGTAGTCACATTCTCAGCTCTCCACTGTTATTCCTGCACCCGTGCAGGCCCGCACTTCCTAGCCACGGTAGCTTCACGATACAAGGCTACGGGGCTACCCTATTCGCCTCTGACCTTTCTTTTGCAGGGCAGAGCCTCAGTGAGAAGAGGGGAATTAGCTGAAGGAAATTACCTCGCCACCAGCCGCGAAAAATCTGCCACTATCCTCGGCTCGGGCTCATTAGTGAGCTCAGGCCGTACTGTCGCCCATGCCATAAACTGCAATGAATCGCCTTTGCGTAGGAAAACGTGGATACACTCTAGCGTCACCCACTCGTCAGCCACATAATCAAGCCGAGACAAGTACGTAATGACCTGGAAGTCCTGGTCCGGGTCGTCGGCTTTTCCCTGCAAAGTGAGTAAGTGACGAGCGTGGTGCGCTTCTACAGATCAGCGACTGTCGTCAGCCGATTGAAGGTGCTTGTTTGGAATAGCAAGAGCAAAGAAGCTAGAAGCAGCCTGCGTCTGACTCGGAAAAGAATCAACGAACGGCCAGAAAAAATAAGTGGAAATACTATAATACGTAGAAGAATCGAGCCTGCACCACACTGACGGCGCGGGCAACAAACTTCCACAAAGAAGCAAAAAAAGTGAACGGCTAAGTACGATGCGGCATTCCGACGTCGCCTCCAGCCTCTGCCCGTCTATAGTCATGGATTTTTGCCTACCCCCCTTGCACACTGCGTCCAACTTTCTGCGAGCCCGCTCTACGTCCTTCTTCTCATTTGCGGTGAGCAGGGAAAAACCCCAGACTTGAGCATCAGTCAAAAACCTCGAGAGCCCATAATCATATTTACCCAGCAGTACGCTTTCGCCTGGAGGTGTGCGCGCGGGAAATGCTTTATTTTTATCAAACGGCTAACCAAAATAAATAATACTTTGCGAATCGTTAGAATAGAGGGGCCACTTTATTACCCGTTCCGAAGCTCAGTGGCAGCCGCACGAAGGGGTAAGCGCATGCTGACAAAAAGCAGTGACTGACACTCATTCACCGCGGATAAAAAGACTCCATGGCCATGAATTCTCCACTTCGCCTGCCTTAATATTGAGCCCAAAGCTAAGAAAAAACTATGGAAATCCCCCAGCCGGTCTCCAAATTGCAAACGCCTGAACCAAAAAACACCCGCACCGAAAACACCTCAACCAAAAACACGCGACCCCCGAAGCACGCCTCCCCCGTCTCTTTTCTAACTAATCAACTGACAAACACAACGCCCGAACACTTGAACGCCGGAACTCATGGGCCAACAAGAATAGCCGGAACCAACAGAAGCTACAGGCAGCCAACTGAAGCTACAAGCAGCGAGCTTAGAAACCTTTGCCAGCTAGCTCAGAAGCCTTGGCCAGTTGGCTCAGAGTGAGAGGGGCCTTGCTTGGCCAGCTAGCTCAGAAGCCTTGGGCGGCTCCCTAAGTAGCCTAGACGCCACCGGCTGGCCAGCTGCTTCACTCTGTCACAGCTGTTGCAGCTTCTACGGTCGCCGCTTCCTTAAGGGAGGGGCGTTAAGGAGGGGGCTATAGTCTGCACTTTTAATAAGAGAGGCCCCCCTAAGGGAGCTCCGTAAGGGTGGCACGCCATTAGGGAACTTTCTTAAGGGGCTTCCCTAAGGGCCCACCCTTAAGGAGATCCCAGACTTTGCTTAGCTGTTTGTATAAGCACGCGCACAAAACGCGGCCCATCTATCAAGGGCCCGCGGGGGCAGATAAAAAGGCCGGCAAATACTACTGCAACTATGGAAAGAGAGTGAGCGCACGCAAGCAACGTATTGCAACTATGGAAAGAAAGTCCCCCGCCGCCAAAGCGCACGAGCTGCAGTAAAGCGCGCTAGCGTGACCGCCCCACGTTGATACCAAAGGGTAGAGTGAGCCTGCCGAGCGTCATGAGGTCCATGAGAACGCCACGCCTGGACATATGCGCGCGCAGGTGCAGTCAGACCCTTTATTTTGAGGGTGGCCATGTCCATGGGAAGAATTGGGGGGAGCGTATCCACGTCATAAGGGAAAGCCTGCGGGGCATCCGTCACGAGGCCCATAAAGAGGCCACAGCTGGGCACCTGCATGCGCAGAAGTTGGACCCTTTTGAGCGTGGTCGTGTGCTGGTGAGAATTAAAGGGACGAGCCCCCGGAGCGTCGTCAAGTCCATGAGAAAGCCACACTTGGGCACATGCATGCACAGTAGAAGCTCGACCCTTTTGAGCGCGATCATGCTCGCCACGAGGGCGATGGGCTCCGCAATTCATATCCAGGCGCACAGGTTGGATCCTTTCCTTTGGGCGTGATCATGTTCGTGAGAATTATAAAGGAGGGCGCCCCCATCATGTCAAAGGGCGGAGCCTTTTCATGAGCGTCACCCATAGCCCAGACATGTCTACGCGCAAGAGTTGGGCCCCGTTGGGTGTGGCCATGTCCGTGAGGTGGGTGACTCACTGAGGGCGTGCGAGCACATCCATGCCAAAGGGTAGAGCCTGGCGAGCATCATGAGGCCCATGAGAAAGCCACGCCTGGGCATATCTATGCGCAAGAGCTGGGTCCTTTTGCCTTTGAGCGCGGTCACGTTCCTGAGAATTATAAGAATGGAGAGCATTCCCATGCCATGAATCAATGGGGTAAAGCCTCCCAAGCATCCATCACGAGGCCCACGAGAAGGCCATCCATCACGAGGCCCATGAGACGGCCACGCCTGGGCACATCTATGCGCAAGAGCTGGATCCTTTTGAGCGCGGTCACGTTCGTGAGACTTATAAGAATGGAGAGCCTTTTTCCCGCGGCATGAGTGGGGCAAAGCCTCTCGGGCATCCATCACGAGGCCCACGAGAAGGCCACGGATAGGCACTTGCATGGGCAGAAGCTGGAGCAGCCCTTTGAGCGTGATCACGTCCGTGAGAAGAATGGGGGCGAGCGTATCCACGTGATGCCAGAGGGGAGACCCAGGTGAGCGCCATGAGGTCCATGAGAGGGGCCAGGCTTGGACGTCTCTACCTACAGAAGCTGGGCCCTTTATTTTCTAAGAGTGTGACCATGTTCATGAGAACTAAACAAGAGAGCGCTTCCATGTCAAAAGGTCGAGCCTTTTGAGCATCGTGAAGCCCATGAGACAAGCGCACACTGGGACACCTCTACGCGCAGAAGGTGGGCCCTTTTGGATTTGAGTGGGATCACGTCCGTGAGAGGAATGAAGGCGGGCACATCCATGCGCGCCAAAGGGTAGAGGCGGGCCCCCTCTTCCCAGTTCCCTCGCGTTCAAGGTGGCCGTGGCGTCGTTCGACGGATTATATGAGAAAAGAGAAACAGGCTTCGCAGGTAAGTTCGTCATGTATCAGCCTCAGTGGTACTCAAAAGTAGTTCCGCCACAGCAGTGGCATGCCCGCAATGGCCGAGCCCCTGCAGCCAGTTGGCCGGCGTTTTATTTCTCGCAGATGAAAGTAAATGACAAGACTGACCCCGAAACCAAAACTGGGCCCGACAAAGTCAAACCCAGTTAACCCTATCGACCTCAGACGACCTCTCAAATCCTCCAAATATTGCAAAAACATTAAGAAACTCAGTGGACGTAACATCCTCGACAACCTAAAACGAGCTGGCCTCAACATGGAGGGAAAGAGATCGCGCAGAGATCTGAAGGGCAGAGGTTTCCTGTCACTTGTTCCAAGCGAGTACAACTTGACTTATAGGTGTGGGAGGGTGGGAAAAAGCAACTTTTATCAAAACCACCCCAGCACTTATTTTTATATATTTCAACGTTTATCCTAGTACTCCTACTCTTGTGATGCATGCTGCCCTTTCAGACTACTCAATGACAACCAAGCGAATAACTGAAACAGTCACGACGTTATTTCTTCACTTTCGAAGTAACGACGACCTTCACTCTCACGAATTTTAGTCTTTCTCTCGCTCTTGTTTGTCAGCCTACTTCTTCGAACGAGAGCGGTTACGATGAGCACTCATTTTCAACGTTTAAAGATTTTTTTTTTGCTTTTTGGCTGCTGCACTGCACATGTCGCAGCAGCATGCTCATTCTCAGTCATCTCCTTCCACCTGGAGAAATAAACTACGCAGTAGTAGCAAGCTCTTTCTGCATTAATTTCGTGGTATGGTTGATAATGTAAAGAGAAAAGAAGTAGCTTTTTTTTTCAAATGTCGAGGACGTCGTTCAATTCTAAGCGTATTCGGGTGGCCTCCTTGAAATTTTTGGAGGGCAATGACACTGAGGGACGAAGATAGCAGCTTGCTAGCTGCAAAAGACGGGCGAGCCCTTTTGCTCTTGTTTTATTGTCTCTCCACCACTTCCAAGCTGTGGAAAATGTCAACGCCCTTGACCGGCGCAGGAGCGTTTGTCAGGATCGGCGCGCCCTAAGTGGCTGGCATTCTTTTACGCGGAGCGAGCAAGGCCAGCCAGTTGCGATTCAGGTTCTTATACTCTGGGGGCGCGGAGGTAGACTAGTATGGAGCCAGCACTCAGTGGGTGAAGAGAATCCGAGAGAGATCGGCGACTCAGTGCGTTACTGTTGCAGTCCTCTTTCTGGCTTATCGATTTGGGTCAAGGGCGTGCGCGTTATCCATCGCGCGCGAGACTTTACCCGGGAGCCCAGTAGAAAAAGCCCAAACAATGCGGATACTTTTGCGGGTGTGGTCGGTGTATATGAGTAGCCAGCCTCCAAACAATCGCGGCCGCCTTTCGTTGATTCCTTCGTTGGGTCATTCAGTGAACGACGTGGCGGCTCTGATGGCATAGCCATGCACATGCATGCATGGCATGGAGAAAGGCGCCTGCATTTACGGAAGGGGCAACTCACAGAAAGTCGCGCTTCAAGTTGGTGGCTGGTTCCTTGTTGTAATGTATCCTACAAGACAGACGCCGGAGACCGCAAAAAAACAAGCCGCGAGCCCTATAGCTGGGAGGGAATTTCCTGAAGGTGGGCGATTCCCTGGCCGGATCTCATAGAAACAGCGACAGGCCTGACAAGGGGAAAAAGTCAGCAATTCGCTTGATGGGCTGCCTTGTGCATTGTCTAGCGGAGCCCGCTAGGGCTCTCTCTATAGCTTTGAGGCCGTAGCACTAGTAGACGCCCCAAGGAAGCTCGACTATTAGCCCAAGGCCATGCCAGCTTCCTTGTCCTTAAGGAAGCTCCTTAAGGATCGTTTTTACTTCTCAAGGAAAAGTTATGGCAGCTTTCTAATTCTATCTGTAAGGAAAGCAATTTCCGTAAGGAAGCTACCTCCGTAAGGAAGCTCCCTAGGGAGGCCTCTTAAGAGATTCAAGCCATTTGCTAACGCTTGTGGCGGAGCCGACCTAACTAGAAAAAAGAGAGACGCGAAGAAGATAGAAAAGAGGAGAGGGCAATTGCCATCAAGTGGCCCCCTTCTGCCAACACTAATTAAGCGCCGGCGCTATCGTCGTCCTATCAGCCCCACAGGCCTCACCTTCGAAAGAAGGCCGGAGCCCTGTGCAACGCCTCCGGTGACTGCTCAGCCCTCTGGTTGTGTGCACAGGTTTCCTCGCTATGGGGTACCGGTTCACCAAATGAACCCACAACCAGAGAGAAGGCCGCTGGCTACTTTATATCTACTACAAACCTTGAAACTCTGATTGCTACTATAAATGCTCATACTATTCTTAACCCAAAGCACCTAAGGGCGGGCAAAGGCCTGCTTCGTTCGAAAAAGTTCGAAATATTTTCGAACGGTTCGAAACATTTGCGAATAATTCGAGAGAGACTCACTGGAAGTCTCAGGCGTTTCGAGTAAAAGTCGCCTTATTCGAAAAAAAAGCGACTTTTTTCTAAAGAAAAGCCCCTTTTTTCGAATCTGATGACTTTTTTCCAAATTCTTGGGAACTATATTCGAACTATTCGAAAATACTCGCCAGGAATTTTTTTCGAACGCGGCAGTTTCTCCTTTGAAGCCTTTTGTAATTTGTCCACAAATATATAAAACAGCTTAGTTCTTATACCTGCTTCAGAGACTAAAAATTCCGGGGCGCCAAAAATAAAGCGCTATCCTGAAAGCCCCGAGCAAACACAAAACAGAAAGCCTGGAGCGTCAGATCCAAGATTTCAGATTGCAAACTATTTGTTGTTTTGATTTTGCATTTCGAGCTTGAACCTTTGAAAAACGTCACACCGGTTTTCGACTTTATCGGCAAAGAATAAACTCAAAGCACTTCGAAATTTCCGGGGTTTGACATCAGCCCGCTTCCCTTGGCGGACGCGGCTCCGCCGCTCTCTCCCTGTCCCGCATATCAGCTCCGGGGGGTGGGCACTGTGGTGATCAGGCTGAAGAGCAGTAGAGCGGAGAGGCCTGCCTTGGTGGACGAAGTGCGCGAAGCGGGTGGAGCTGGAAGATTCTAGTGGAGGGAGAGCCGCCGGGCGCTTAGGTCTAGTATCTCGAAGTATCAGAGCTTCAAAACAAAAATTAAATATACCAAGGAGATAATCAACGGCGCCCTTCGTCCCCAGGTGACTCGCTGCCGTGTCTTCCTCATTCGCGGCTTTTTTTTTCCCCATGCCCGTTTTGGCCTCATTAGGGGCGTGCACCTCCTGTACGCCAGTATTTGTTTTCACGTTTTTCCCGTTCGTCAAGCCCATTCTTCTTAGATTGACAGCACTCGCACCGACCCAAAAGCAAAGTTAAAAACAAAGGAGAGAGAGAAGACTCCACCTTCAGATGAATGACCGAAGAGAAAGTAAGGAGCGCGATATTTCTCTTATTAACTAGTAGCAAATGTAGACAGATTGAAGGGTGAATGAATGATGAGTGAATTTGTCTAGCAAGAGGCGAAAAGAAGATTATGAAGTAGATTATATGTATGTGGTGGGAGAGAAGGTAGTAAATGTCGGTGTCACAGAAAAGAAATTTCGAAATGAGGGAATTTCTTATGTTGAGAGGACAATTTTATAGATAACCCTGTGAGCGACGGGGAATGGAGCAGATGATGAGGAAGATGCAGAGGTTGGCGATGCTGATGATGACTTGAGGAAGAAGAAGGCGAAAACTCCAACGCATGATAAATCAAAATTACAATTGTTAAGACGAATCCAAATCGCATGATAAACCAGATAAATCAGTATCAGCACAATTGTCAAGACAATACAATACAATTTATCTCGCACAAAGTTCAGTGCAGACTGCCACAAGGGCGTCATAGATGATACACACGATGGGTCTCACGCAAAGAGTGGAGTGGAGAAGCGGCACGGTTACGTCTGTTGTGAACAGTATGATGAAAATTTCCAGAGGACTAAAATATATTCACTCCTCTCATCTCCACTTCTCTCAACAGAGGTCCGCTAACTGCTTACTGCTAGTCGTGAGTGCTCATTCTCTTGACAGAGTTCTTGTCTCAAAAGTGTACCTCCTTGTCTCAACAGACTCCCTCGACAGACTGGCATCGACAGATTCCCTCAACAGACTCGCGGCCTCAACAGACTGCTAGCCTCGGCAGAGCTCTTTTTTTGAAGTCAGACTATCCCCATGGTGTAGCTGTTCTCGACAGAGTTTTTGTGTGTCTCAACAGAGCAGCTCTCATCGTCTTGAGACAGAGTTTCTTCTACTGCCTCAACAGATCTTAGGGCAGTCCCTGTTGGGAACACGAAGTCGAAAATCGACTCTGCTATCGATATTATCGTCTCGCAGGTCGTTAGTCGTGCTAGAGAAGTTCAGAATACGATAGATAGGAGTTGATTCGCCGTCCACATCAGGGTGACCTGTAGTACCGTCAGAACGAATCTGTGTAGAGTTCATCTTCTTGCTGCTTCTTCCTTCATTGGTGGACGTGTCATGTTCTATTTAGTTTTTGCTAGTGCTGTGACTCTATTGTTCGCGTTCGGAAATGTTGAGGTGCCCAACCAAGTCAAGATATGGCCAAGGCAGTTCGTTGTCCCTGGTGCATTAATTACGCAGAGATCATACAACTTACTCGTGTTTATCCTGCTCCCCGTTGGTTAGGTTATTAGGTCGTGGATCCTGCACAGAACTCGATTGGCCAGTACTCGACCATTACCAATATCAATAAATATTTTGCAAATTACGAGTTCGAGGCCAATCTCGTCGTCAACGTCGCTTGTGGGACGGTGTCTAACACATTACAGGTATGGGGGATACTTCTACGTTGCCAATAGTAATAGATACTTCTACGATACTTTAGGACATACTGCTCACATGACATCACGGACTGGCGCCTAAAAGTACTAGTACTTTTACGAGCTGCAGCGCATTGTTCATATTTATGTTGTTCGTACCGGTCTGACAGTTTAGTCACGTGTACAGGCTGTTATCTGCTTCAGGACAGCGTCACAGGTATAGGGCCATCGGGAAAGAGAATTACGCTAGACATATTCACGACCTCACAAAAATAGTTGCTTTGCATTTATCAGACCACATTCATTCGTTGACATATTCACAAAAATAGTTGCCTTGCATTTATCAGACCACAGTCATTCGTTGACATATTCACAAAAATAGTTGCCTTGCATTTATCAGACCTCCACAGTCATTCGCTATTGCTAGTTACAACATCATCACATATGTTGAAGATTCCAATTGTACTTAATAGGTGGGTCAATGCGTGAGTATCAAGCTCAACGAAGTCAGCCATTTGATAAGTGAGAGTTAGTAAATTAGTGAGTAAGTCACGAGTATTTAAGTGTGTGAGTGAGTGAGTCATTGAGTATTGAAGTGAGTGAGTGGGTGAGTGTGTGTGCCTATCAAGCAGCGTGGTCGGCAAAAAGGAACCGCTTCTACTACTACCTCCTAGGAGCACTCTCAAAGAAACAGGAGGATGCATATGGTCGCGCCACGATACGTCCTTCGTAGCATTTCGCATCTACATATGAGGCCGCTCAGTCAAGTAGTACCTCCAAAGGAGAGCTACGACACCGAATTAAGAACTTTAGAAAGTACTAGGCCACTGCTCGGCTAGTACAAAAGATCAATGATCGAGCTATCTGTGCTCATACAAGTAGGATATGACCCCATATCGATCTCCATGTTAGTACACCCACTTTTTATGGCTAAAAGTAAAACGATGTAGAGAAGATTCTACTTACATTAAAACTTGGAGGACGAAACAAACGAGAAATAAAAAAACAGGCTGTAGTCTCAAAATTTGGGAAGACTCACATAAGACTAAGAGTACCTTGAGCATTCGTCATAGAGTTTCTCTATGCGTCATCATGCACAAACATGTGTCGGCCTCCAGTGGCAAGCCTGTACACGAGGAACGGTTCATTTTCAAAAAAGGAGGTCCCTTTTCTTGCCCTAGGGATTAAAAAAGAAGGCCAAGATCCCTCTTCACTCCAAGTTCAAACTAAAAGTTCAAAAAAATCAAAAGGTAGCAAAATTAGAACCGAAGATTTCTTTTAGAAGAAATGTCCGATTTGGTCACCTCCTGCATCTGTTAACCCACCTCTTCTAGTTACTTTTCTCACCTACTTACGTCGTTTATCCCCTTATCCCCCACATTAGTTATAGTATTCTGTCACTAGCGTTTATACTACTTACGACACTTCAGAAACTTTTGCCCCCCTTCCTCAGCTAGCCTTGTCACCAACTATTCGTGTCAAAAGTCACCTCTGTCAGTCGCCACTTCTGTCATCAGTCACCAACTTTTCCTCCCAATAGTCACTTCTCTAAGTTCTCCTATCACAAATAACTTCAGAAGAGTGACAATTTCGTCACTTCTCTTCCAAGTTCTCCTATCACAAGGATCCACTTTTTCTCCTATCACAAGTGCCACAACTACTGCTAAGAGAAATCACCTCGTCTAGAAACTGCCGCCGGCGTCTGTGACAGAGCCGCTGATAGAAGAAGCATGGTTGTTGCAAGCAGCTTCGATTCTGATAGCATTGTCGTGTTCCCAGAAGTGGAGTCTGCTAGGTCATTAGAAGAGGATGTCGAGACTGTCTAAAGAAAGAAACAACAAGACTCAGTGAATGAATGAATGTACCCACTCCAGGGGCTTCAGAGACAGCTACTGACTACTTCCCTCTACAACGCGCCTCATGAGAGATGGTCTTATTGTCAACGTAGTCGGCCCTGTGCCACAGGGTGTGCCAGCATTAGCATTGTCGCGTTAGAACAACGGGATACAACAACAGCCCTCCTAAACTCGTACTTCTGGTAGGATTCCTATTTTTGTGGATCGGCACATCATGCGTACTTAGTTGTAGAGTCTGGACCGACACATAATTAAGTATTCGAAAAACTGAAATAAGCAAGTAACTGATCAGAATAACCGAGATACTGATGAGAAGGACGAGTAGCCTCGATGCTAAGCTACGCAAGAAAGAGCAGCCCTGTCAAAGCTACCTCCCTTATTTCAGTCAGTTGTAACTCGGTTATTTTCAGTTTTCAAGTAGAGTCCTTCATTATAATAAATCCAAATTGCAGGACCGTAAAGCCTAAGGAGCCTACAACTTCAACTCTGCTCATAAAAGTCTGATCTCCCACCTCTGTCCAAGGTTGCTCTCCTGACGCAAGCACTCGGGTCGTTTCCAAAGGCGTCGCGGCAGCGAGAAGTCCAAGGATGAGAAGCACAAAGTAGCATGGATTAGAGCTTTTGGTATTGCTACCAGGTGTCCATCGTTCTTGTGTAGGTATACTGAAGGGGTCCTAGAAGACATCAGCAGCGTATAATTGTAGTAAGTTTAAGTACTTACATTGAGATCCTAGACCTAAATTTTGTTGTACCCTTGACAAAGAGACTCTTGTTGAGGTGGATGCTTTCATAAGCCGAAAATTAATATAATTCTAGATTAAAGCGCGCCTTAAGCGGAGGACCCAACTGGTCCTTTTTCAGCAATTTCTGCGCTAGTCCTCGATCTTTGCCTGTGGATACTGCAAATCTTAGAGATGACACTAGTAGGTAAAAGTCGAAGAAAAACTTGGATCCCTCCCTTCGGCGTCATCCGTTACACACACACCACCACACCCACACACCACCACACCCACACACCACCACACCCACACACCACCACACCCACACACCACCACCACGCCACCACTTATTTACGACTGGAAAAATAGAAGTTAGCAGAATCAGCATTGATCCACAACAGGGTCTGACAATGGCGAGCGATGGTTGACAATGGATAAGGTTACTCTGAAAAATGAAGTTTTTAGAGACCCCTAAGTTAGTATTTTCAACTGTATAAGTGGTTCTGGAATTGACATCTGCCCACATAGGTTCCTTTCGCCACTTGGATCCCTCCCTTCGGCGTCATCCGTTAATGCCAAACCTTCCTCTTGTCCAGGTGTTTCTACCCCAGGCACGCAACTTGAGCTGGAAGACGCGGCAGCATGGTTTGCGCCACCTATTCTTAGCGAGATTGACAATGACCAAGGAAGGGGTGAGTGTCACTAAAAAGTAGCTCTTATTTTTTAAAATTTTTACGACTGGAAAAGTAGAAGTTGGCTTTTTTCCTGTGTCACAGTGTCACGTAGGCCTCTAGCACTGTTGAATTGTCAACAACATGTCAGAAGTATTGTTACAATGTTGACAGATATCATCCATGCATAGTTTCTCCGTCGTATCAGGACCACATGTTGACTGCGGAAGATTTATAGTACTCGGAGTACAAAAATGTTGCCGATCTTGCTCTTCGTCTTCGTCCGCATTGCAGGAGGAGGTCGCCATATGTCTACTTGCAGAATCATGACAAAATTCATCTTGTCCTCGAGTCTTCTGTTGATGAAACAACTGGTCTTATTAGCGGTGACGGCAAAACAAGGTGTATAAGATTTTTGGTATAATGTATGAGCCTACGCAATGTCACTCATTTTTGATGAGATTAGTGGTCGCACAAGAATGACGTGTAAAAAAGCGTGAGATAAGTGCCAGAAAGACCAAGGCTTGAGAGGTTAGTTGTACGATGAAATTAGCGTATTCAAAAACAGTCCTTAATGGTAGTTGATAGCCAGCACACCGAAGATTGGACCCGCAAAGCTGCCACTCTGCATCGGCTTTTCGAGATCCACCATTGGAATTCCTGACCTACTGATGGTTTTCATGTTAGAATAATTTATCTGTTTCTGTGCTAAAATGTTTTCACTTTTTTCAAAACTTTTGTTATACGAGCAGTCAAGATAAGTGGACCAGTAGACAAAAATAGTATCTCGTCCATAACCAAGAGAGCGAGCAACTGCACTATCAAACCCGTAACGTAAGCTAAACCAGCGAAGAGCAGCGCGTTCTGAGGACTTGTTCGCTGTACCCTAGTATTGTCAGAACTGAGCATCGTAGTATTTTGATGACGAGGAGGAGCACGACCAGAGTTCGCCTCTATTAGAAATCTCCAAGATCGTGAAAGAGATGTCATGCGTACATCTCTAGTGACTATTCGTCATCACCGGCAAGATGAAACAGTTCCTGGTGCGTTCAATAGAATAGCAGAGGAAGCGTGAACCCTGATAAGGGGATAGACAAAACCAATTATAACGGAAGTATGCGGATAAAAAACAAAACCAATTATAACGGAAGCGTTTTTTCATCTATATTAAATGAATACATCAAACATCATATCACAATCTATAAATGAATACATCATATCATGTATTAAATGAATAAGTACATCATATTTATACATATCATGCATAAGACAACTCCTCCATCTCTTTGTGGTACTTCATCCTCGACATCATCGGCATTTGCTCTCGCTGTCCTCGCTCCTAGTATCGTACTAGGTAAAGGCGTTGCTGGTTTCGGTGAGGGCGTCCCTGGCGTGTCTGGACGGCTAGAAGCCGTTACTGGGGGACTGTCGTCTTGCTCTGAACACCAGGGTAAGACAGGATCGAAAAGGGCATTAGAGCTAATACTTGTTGAAGCTTCTTTCTTGTTTCTGATCAAGAATGATTAAGAGCAACAAAATTCAACAAACGCTTCCCCTCCGAAACCTCAACCCCTAACACCCAAGCCCTGAACCTCCGACCCAAAAACCAACAAACCCCAAACCCATGAACCCAGGTAAAGGCGTTGCTGGTTTCGGTGAGGGCGTTCCTGGCGTGACTGGATTCGAAAAACTGAAACACTCGAGTAACTATTGAAAATAAGGGAGATACTGAAAGAAGAGAAATGTAGTCAAGACTCTCTTATTTCAGTCAGTAGCTCGCTTATTTATTTGAATTTTCGAATACTAACTTGTTGAAGCTTCTTTCTTGTTTCTGATCAAGAAATATGAAGATCATGATTTTTACATCAGTGTAGTTATAAGTACAATGCCATACTAGATGCAAAACGCGCAGCTCGGCGACCCAAAGACGACTGAGCTCCTCGTGCTAGCATCCCAGACACAACTGCCATACCGAAATATAACTGGAAGGAGAATTCAAGGGGATTACGATTAGCATTACTAGGGGATTGTTTACTAGTGAAAATGAAACATTGAGAAACACCATGAATAATCAACTTCTAGTATATATTTATAAGTAGTTGTTAGAATTATCAGCAAAGGAAAAATTATGAACAATACGGCTTTCTTCTGCGTGATGCGTAACATGTCTCCGCTGATAGCAACAGCAGAAGGCGCGACGAGCAAGCAAGAAAGATAGCGCCTCACCACGCACGCCTTTCTGTTTCCTCTTTCTGTTCTCTCTTCGGTCTCTCCTGGTACTGGATCAACCAAAAAAGAGACCAACATTTGCCCCACCACATGTGCTATTGCGAACGAGTGATTAGAAGAAACATGTGATGTAAGTCGATGAATAGTACTATTTGGAAGCTGTTTTGTAGGATAGTAGCTTGAGAGAAACACAAACATGGTCTTCGTCTTTTGATGGGCAGGTTATTTTTAGCTTCACGTTGCCAGTACGGTAGAGGTCCAGAGCCTCAAGAGACCCAAAAATATAAAATTTGCGATACCTCCGACCTGCGATTGGGAGAAGATCTTTTGACCTTTAACGGCGTGTACGGCGGAGGCCGCGAGCACTGGCAGAGGTCCAGAGCCTCAAGAAATCCAAAAAAATAAAATTTGCGATACCCCCGACCTGCGATTGGGAGAAGATCTTTTGACTTTTAACGGCGTGTACGGCGGAGGCCGCGAGCTTTGGCTGAGCTCAAAAGCAACTTGGCGATACTTCATAAGTACGTCTATTTGGAGGCAACTCTTTAGCAATCCAAGGGCGTTCACGGCAGAGCCGCAGCAGGCGTGTACGGTAAGAGCCACAGATGGCTCTGAATGGAGCCCCCTTCTAGAAAGGCTTGCACTGCCAAGGGCTGACGAATGCCGCGTACAGCAGCAACTCAGATCAAAGAATAAGCGTCTGAAAGAACCCCTTTTGAAGCTTCGTCTGAAAGAACCCCTTTTGAAGCTTCGTCTGAAAGAACCCCTCGCCCTCTTCGAGACGAGCCCTTTCTATGACAACCATCTCCTTCTTAGAAAGGAGCCCTTTCTATGCCAGATATCAGAAAGGAGCCAGAAAGGAATCAGAAAGAAGCCCTTCCGGAGCCCTAACTGCTCGAAGCGACCCTTTCCTGATTTGAGTCCCTAGTACGGCAGAGCTACCCCTTTCGGATTTCAGCCCCTCCTACGGAAGAGACCAAAAGCTTACTCGACGTACAAAAGTCAAAATTTGCGATTCGTCCGTCCTATAATTGGGCACGTGTTTTTTGGAAGGCACGTGTTTTTTGGAATGATACGACTAACACGGAGAAGGCCAAAGTTGCACTGACAATGCAAAATGGCAAATCGGCAATAACTCCCTTCTGCGAATGGGATATCAATTTACTAGCCAGTACGGTGCTGGGGAGAGTGCTTACTTATTTGCTGAACCTACTTACGCCTGCTCAACTACTTTTAGGCATTTGAATCACCTTCCACATACATATCGGTCCCGCCTCTGGGTAAGACGCACATGCTGCGGCAATTCCGGACGAAGCCAGGACGCCATCAATCATAGTCGAACCTACTTCCACCACTAGCTCAGGATTATCGGAAAGCAACCGTAGCAGCCGCTCCTTGCAACTGCTGCTGCCCTCAGAGGATGATGAATTGCCTACTTCCCGACTTTGCATTAGACGACGTTTTCTTTTGGGAGAAGGTTTCCTGACCAGCCAGCATTGTATTAATCAGGTCCTCTCACTGACATAACATTTTTGCACGATAATACCTTCTGTCTGAATCATGTACTTAACCTAAATCAATCATTGTAAACAACCACTGCATATCATCGTAACTCATGTTCTCGTCTTGTTCTGTTGCTATTCTCTGAAGCATTATTTGGCGATGCAAAAACCGAAAAACGGACCTCGCCTTCTACTCCAGACGCCTCTGCTCTGAAGGACGAAGGCGTTCGCTGATCTTGTGCTAGCGTATTATCGCCGCGATACACGTTAGAAAATGAAAATTATCATGTGTGAGCTGATAGTACGGACGAAGTTAATCATGATACTGACTGGGACTCTACTCAGGAAAGGTTTCGACCCGATTCAGCAGACTCAAAGACCCCGACAACCACATGCGGCCAAATCGGCTTGAGACCTAGGCAGCGACGAAGGAAATCCACGTGTCCAAATGCAGTTCGTCCCGCATCGACAGCGATGATACGGACGAAGTGCATTTGGACATGCGCTGATACGGACGAAGTTAATCTTAGGCAAAAATAGCAAGAATGTATCTACAAGAGATTCCGTTGTCTGTGTACGAGGGAGTGCCTGCTCTTTAGATAATTTAGAAAAATATCCCCAGTTAAAGATCTAAGTACACGTCCTCTACTGAAGATGCATTTGCCTAGCAGCCCTTAACTTGTCCAGCAAAGGGCTCAACGCTGGTAGAGGATGAAGGCAGTACCACTGTACCGCTATCAGGATCCCAAGCATTCTTGGTTTTTTAGAAGCTCTCAGGGTCAGAGATATAGCTCTTTTACACTTTTTCTGTCAAAATCAACTATGTTATAATAACTACGTACTATTGTAGGCGGGAGTAGAATTGTGCCAGATGCGCCTAGGACAACTTGACGTGTGTTAACTACACAGTAGCAGTACTACCTAGTGGTCAACAGTCCAGATGCGCCTAGCAAAACTTGACGTTTGTTAAGGTTAGCTAAACAGTAGCAGTACTACCTAGTGGTCAACAATTAAGGATAACTAAACAGTAGCAGTACTACCTACCATCGCCTAGTGGTCAACAATTAGCAGAAGTCCTTAACTCCTTGTCCCGGATCCGGAGGATCTTTGGTTTTGTTTTGTTGAGCTTGGTGGATCTTGTTGTTTCGGTGCTGCAGGGGCTTGCGCAATGTAGTTCGATGCGTACCTGCCGGATCCCTGGCCACTCCTTTTGGGTCCCTGAGCACTTGTCCGCGCGTGGGTGTGCCTAACATTGAGTTGGATTCCGCTTCCCCTTGAGGTGACGTAGCCGTCTTCATCACGGTCGCCCCCATCACTGCTCTTACTTTAGAAGAAAGACAGCGTTTTACAATTGTAAGCGTAAGACCTATGGCATAGTACCACAAACAAGTCTCACATAAGTTTCTCGACGTCCCCTCACTGGTACAGCGCGCCTTGCATTCCTCAGATTCAATTCTTCTACTTTAGAAGTTCGACCTACTTGCATTCTTCAGACCATCCCCGACTCCTTTCCGTTTCCTACTGGAAAACAATTCAAAGAGTTGCGCGGTGAAGAGCGCGATGCGGTAACCCTTAACTGGTGCAGCTGCTTCCTTCTTGAGGCTACTGTTATACTTCCTCTCTCGTTCATTTCTTACTAGAGCTGCGGTAACCACTATAATGGCACTCACTGCTTCGCGTTAGAGAGGAAGTTGGGTCAATAATGTTTTGAACCGAAGAAGACCAAGATCTTTCTATCCCTTTAAACAAAAAAATATATCATTAGAGGAAGTTGGGTCAATAAATATATTATTTGCATGAGTGGATTTTTGACTAGTCTAGTTGTATCCTTTGCAGGCAGCGGCCGCCCGCCTGCCTCATGTCCTGCGTATTTTATACATCACGCACACTATGCCCGCCAACCATGCCATTCTCATAATCATTTACCAAAGCTGCAAAAAACGGATTGCCGGTTTCGACGGCTAATTGGGCTTGTGCACCTTGTTGCAGCGCCATCAGAATACCACAAAGTGCGGGCGCGCAATCTCTTCGCTCTGGACGCAATGGTCTCAGTTTGCGCTTCAGAAAGGCTTTGCCTTTGCGTGTATTAGATCATCATGTAGTTCACCATGCCATCATGTGAAACCGTTTGTGGACTTTCGTCGTAGCACTAGCAATGGAGTATTCGTTGGACGAACCAAGAAAGCTTATGTTCTTTCTTGAATAAGTTTATTATGTCTCGTAGACGAGAACCTCATCAACTTTTTTAGGTGGTGAAAGAAGTAGAGGGCTCCTGCTTTTAAGCCCTACTTAATAACTACCTTTATCAAGAACTTCACGCAAGAACAAGACGCTTAATGACAGAAAACTGCTCAGAGTGCGAGGCTGGGTTAGGATCGCGAGAAGGACCCGCGTCTAGGCGATTATTGAGCGAAGAAGATGAACCTCCCTGTTGTTGTTGATGATGACTGCCCCCTTGATCGCTGCTTTGTCCTCCTCGGTTGGTTTTGAAGATATTTTCATGTCGCTCTTGAAGCTTCTGGGCTTGCTGACGCTCCTGAGCTGCAAGTGCTTCTTCTCCACGACCACCAGGAACCGCTCTTACAGAAATCGCAGAAGCTTCGTTCCTTTGAAGAGTAGGTCCACGTTGAAGATTTCCATTCGCAGAAGCATGGAGATGATGCGGCTCAACTTCTTGTGCCATGATGCTATAATGAAGATGTTTCCCAATAGTTGTAGCTGTAGGTTCAACTGCATCAGAAACGAGGTGTTTCCCAATAGTTGTAGCTGTAGGTTCAACTGCATCAGAAACGAGGTGTTTCCCAATAGTTGTAGCTGTAGGTTCAACTGCATCAGAAACGAGGTGTTTCCCAATAGTTGTAGCTGTAGGTTCAACTGCATCAGAAACGAGGTGTTTCCCAGTAGTTGTAGCTGTAGGTTCAACTGCATCAGAAACGATGTGTTTCCCAACAGTTGTAGCTGTAGGTTCAACTGCATCAGAAACGATGTGTTTCCCAATAGTTGTAGCTGTAGGTTCAACGTCAGAATCCTCGAGGGATCTAGACACTGTATCGCAAGATCGTATCGAATCTTTGTCCTCGAGCTCACGACCAACATCCTCCTCTTTTTTGGTCATGGCATCACAGGGCTGCGTTAGGGGTTGAAAGTTGACCGATCTTACTCGCATATCTAAGCCATTGTCCCTTGAAAAGGTCATAGATATGCTCTTAGAAAATAGGGCAACTTCCAACCCTTAATAACTGCAGATGCTGCTCTATTTCTTGGTGATCTGGCCATGCTTCCTCTACCCCTCTTGTTCCTGGGGATCGATGTCTTAGTGGAAATTGAAGAGTTATAGGTAGTAAAGGAGTACTAGGTAACAGTCAGTTGCAAAAAAGTTCCACAGGTAAGTAGCTTTTAGGTTAGAAAGAGCCATAGGTCATGCCAGGGCACCTCTTTCATAGCATTTCGCGTCTATATGTGAGGCCTTTCAGTATAGAGGTAGGCACAACTCCTTAGAAGTAGCATCTTAATCGCCGACTAGTCTACTATTATACTATATCATCCATCAACAACATCCATCTTAACTTATAGTACATATAAAAATTGATCGTCGAATATTATTTTACGATCTACTGAGTATGCTTTAGCTGAACGTCTTAAGATCCCGTCTCCCTTGTCTCCCTTTTCAACATCCTGTTCTTGCTCTCCCCTATTCTTGCTATCGACAACATCCGAGGAGTCTTCATCCTTATTACCCACTAGAAGATCCAGGATCCCACTAGCTATCGAGCACGTCATACTTTTGATAAACGGGATGTTAGAAAATACTTGTTTTACGTTTTCGACTTGGGTCGTCAAGAAAGCAATTATAAGAAGGATGATGAAATTGTTTAGGTTGAAAGCAATTATAAGGAGGATGATGAAATTGTTTAGATTGAAGGCAATTATATATGTACCAGGGAGGGAGGCCCCCCCCCGTGTGGATGGATCGGGGGTGGACCCCGCCAGAGGGGTCCAGCCTTGCCACCTTATTGGCCAGGTCTGTCGAGAGGCTGCCGGGCGGGAAGGCCTCAAAGCGCCCACTTCTGACCCCTTCCCGCTCCTTGCTCGCTGTACCCTACAGACCAGGCAAAGGTGGCAAAGGCTGGGCCCTCTCGTCGTGTTGCGTGTACCCGACAGAGCTGGCAGACGAGGCAAGGCGGGAACCCACCCCCTTGGCGTGCTGCATGTACCCGACAGACCTGGCAAAGGTGGCAAGGCTGGACCCCTCTGGCGTGTTGCATGTGCTCAACCCTACGCCAAGGGGGTAGGTCCCGCCTTGCCTCGTCTGCCAGCTCTGTCGGGTACACGCAACACGACAAGAGGGCCCAGCCCTTGCCACCTTTGCCAGGTCTGTAGGGTACATGCAAGAAGCGGGAAGGGGTCAGAAGTGGGCGCTTTGGGGCCTTCCCGTCCGGCAGCCCCTCGAAAAGAGGGGCCGAGGCGGGGAGGCCCCCCCCTCAAAAAGTTAGATCGGGGGGAGGGGTAGGGCCGAGAAGGGGATCCCCTGGGCTTTACCTACGGGATTTCTAGTCGTGTAGGCAATTTCATAATTTGGCGGACGAGGGGCAGCAAAGTTCCCCTGGTTGTGCGTCTCCGTCTCAGTCTTAACCACTAGAGGGATGCGGAAAATTTTCACAAGACGGCAAGGGGGAAAAGCTCGGCAGAAATTCACAGAGCTCGGCTGAAAATGCGGCAGAAAGTCCAAGAGGAAGGGAGGGGCAAAAATGTTCTTGGCCGCAGAAAGTGCGGCAGAAAGTCCAAGAGAGGGGCGGAGAATGTTCTGGACTGTCAGAAAATGCGGCAGAAAGTCCAAGAGAAGGGTGGAAAGTGTTCCCGGGTGGCAGAAAGTCACGGAGGGGGGTGAAGAATGGACCTGGGCAGGCAGAAAACGCGGCAAGAATGTCGCAGAGGGGGGCGGAAAATGTTCCCGGCTGGCAGAAAGTCACAGACCGACGGGGGCGGAAAGTGTCCCCAGGTGGCAGAAAATGCGGCAGATAGTCCAAGAGGGGGGCAGGAAGTGTTCTCGGGTGGCAGAAAATCAGCCAAGGGAAGCGGAAAGAAAGCGTTCCCGGGTAGGCAGAAAATGCGGCAGAAAGTCACAGAGGGCGGGAGGTGGAATATGTTCCCGGTGGACAGAAAACGCGGCAGAAAGTCAACCAATAGGGTGGAAAATGTTCCCCAGGCAGCTAACGTGGCACGCAGGAAGTCAACTAAGGGGGTGGAAAATGCTCCCGAGGCGGCAAGCGTGGCAGAGTAATCAAATCACTCAGGGGGGTGGAGAATGTCCCCGAGGCAGCAAACCTGGCAGAAAATCAACAAAGCCAAGGGGGGCGGAAAATCTTCCCGAGGCAGCAAAACGAACCTGGCAGAAAATCAACAAAGGGGGGTGGAGAATGTTCCTGAGGCAGCAAAAACTGGCAGAAAATCAACAAAGGGAGGCGGAAAATGTTCCTGAGGCAGCAAAGCCTGGCAGAAAATGTTCCCGAGGCAGAAAAACCTGGCAGAAAATCAACAAAGGGGGCGGAAAATGTTCCCGAGGCGGCAAACCCGGCAGAAAATCAACAGAGGGGGGCGCAAAGCTTTCCCCCGTGCAGAAATTGAAGCAGAAAAGGGACGGAGGCGGAAACTTTCCCCCAGGCAGAAATTGAAGCAAGCAGAAAAAAGGGAGGGGGGCGGAAACTTTCCCCCAAGCAGAAATTGAAGCAGAAAAGGGAGGGGGGTGGAAACTTTCCCCCGGGCAGAAATTGAAGCAGAAAAGGGAGGGGGTGGAAAGTTTCCCCCAGACAGAAACTGAAGCAGAAAAGGGACGGGTGTGGAAACTTTCCCCCAGGCAGAAACTGAAGCAGAAAAGGGAGGGGGGCGGGAACTTTCGCCCGGGGGGGCAGCAATTGAAGCAAAAAAGGGACGGGGGTGGAAACTTTCCCCCAGGCAGAAACTGAAGCAGAAAAGGGACGGGGGTGGAAACTTTCCCCCAGGCAGAAACTGAAGCAGAAAAAAGGGAGGGGGGTGGAAGCTTTCCGCCAGGCAGAAACTGAAGCAGAAAAAAGGGAGGGGGGTGGAAGCTTTCCCCAAGGCAGAAACTGAAGCAGAAAAAAGGGAGGGGGGTGGAAACTTTCCCCCGGGCAGAAATTGAAGCAGAAAAAAGGGACAGGGGTGGAAACTTTCCCCCGGGCAGAAACTGAAGCAGAAAAAAGGGACGGGGGTGGAAACTTTCCCCCGGGCAGAAA